TTTTTTGATTTTCAATTTTTTTATTTTTAGCAAGTACTAACCCCACCCACCCAGCCTTTATTTTCTTAGAAGAATAAGTCATCTGCCAAAATCAGTCTTATGTTGGCAAGTACTAGCCCCCCGCCCACCCTCCCTTTATTTTCTTAGAAGAGTGGGCCATGTGCCAAAATCAGTCTTAACGGGACAAATACTAGCCCCGCCCACCCACCCTCATTTTCTTAGAGAATATGTCATTTGCAAAAATCGGTCTCATACTTGCCAAGATAAGATTGATTTTGGCAGATGACCTACTTTTCTAAGAAAATAAAGGGTGGGTGGGCGGTGCTAGTACCTTTTCTTAGAAGAGTAAGTCATTTGTCAGAATGAGTCTTATTTTGACAAATACTAGCCTGGTCTACTCGTCTTTTATTTTCTTAGAGGGTAGGTTATTTGGCAAGTATACTATCATAGGGTAAAATTTCATTTTTGAAAAAGTTGTCTAAAAATTCTGAAAAAATTCAGAGATATATATATCCCGACGTTGATTCCAAAAATATAGCATGTTTATGGTAACGGAGCAATATTTTCGAAAAATTTTGTGTGAAATTCGAATTCTTTGAAATTTTTAAAAATTGCGATATTTCATTGGACGATTCTGGAAAAACGGTTTAAGTTATCGAAGAAATGAAGCCTACACGGAAGTATTTAGTTAAATTTCGAAAACTGTCGAGAATGGATCGAAATTATAATACGAATACATAATGGGAAGTTTCATTTTTGAAAATTCTGATTAAATTCAGGGATATAGATCCCGACGTGTTGATTCCAAAAATATGGCATGGTTATGGTCACGGAGTAATATTTTTTTCAAATGTATCTATTATCCATTGTGGATTCAGAATATGTGCTTTATTTCTGTTTAATAAAATTAAAGTTTATTTCTTCAAATTTGTTTTCAGCAGTGTATGAAGTTGTTATTCAATTCCCTTTCAGCTTTTTGGGAAATTCGCCGATCCGAACAAATCGCTATTCCGAACACACCTTGCAAAATTGCAAAATTAAAAAATTGATGAATAAAATATTCATCACAATTGAGAAGGCGTGGGTGAGCGGGCCTTATATTTTGTCCATTTTTTCTTTAATATACGAAGTCTTCTTTTCCCAACAAAAAAACTGGAAACTTGTTTAACTATCCTGTTGTGAAAAGAAAATTCTATATATTAAAAAAAAAACGAAGATTAAACGGTTAGTCTAAGACGAAAACGTATTTTTGTAATAACCAAATTAAAAACAAATACATTTTATTTCCGCTACATTTAGGCCAGAAGGGGTCCCTAACTTCGGGGGCCTGATGGTCCAGCATCACAAGCATATCCCTATAAACCGTCTCTGCACAAGTAAGGACATTGTAAAATATATTTACAGCACATTATTAACGGGAATAGTGGTACCTGAGCAATATGGGTAGTGTTTAAAATATTGATGTTTCTACATCGGAGAATGTCGCGTAGACATTTGTTTGATTTGAATGAGTTTATCGCCTCAAAATTATTCATAAGCCTCAATTGAACAAAATATTCTGAATGTTATTATTATAATTCTTACCTTATTATTATTTTATTGTTATAAAGACGCGCGTATTCTCATATTTTCCAGAAAATGGGGTGCTCGTTCTTAATTTGATCAATAATAAATTGACTCATAAAGTTGCCGAATTTACTTAAATTTATGAGTGTTTTGGGAAAAACTTAGTATGAATTAATCAATTAATCCTTTCCTCTGCATTGAAGACACAAAATCAACCACATTTCATTGATAACCACCGATTCGTGTAATCTGGACGTGCTAATACTCGAATTCCGTCGAAATATAAACATAAACAGTCGAAGTTAAGCATATAGTGAGAAATTGAGAATATCTATATTTTTTCCTGTTAGTTATCTGCTTTAAATATATTTCATATTTAAAGACGCAGGGGCTGCGGGGATATTAATTACGCCACTTTATAGAGGTTAACAGTTAAAGAAGCGTTATCAAAATTCCAAAAACAACATAATTTTTTCAAAACGCCAATGTCGCCGGCAAAACTGAAAATAATAATAGCAATGTCCTCAATCCGACACTGATTATAACCAAAAGATGAGAATTTTCAATACTCCAGAGTCAAATACAATACATTCATTAAAATGTTAAAAACTTACTGAGAATAATTCCGCGTCTTGTACACTTTTTCGAGTTTTCAGACCTTCGTTACTTGACATGAATCAAAATGTAATTTGAGAATTTCATAACACGTACTGTGTAGGGTCCTTAACTTAGAGAGATAACTTGATTAATAATTTACTGGGACTTTGTGCTATCCTTTCCCTCCGGTATTCAACAACTTTATGACTAGCATTAGGTCCTGATGTCTACATTTGTTTACACTTTAGGATACCACAAGAATACGTACAATCCGTTGAATAAAAAGTCTCTTGAAAGTTTTCATCTGGAAATTTTATCACTGTCTGGTAGATGTCCATTTCCAAATACACCAGCCACTTCGATAATAAACAGAAAGACAATTCACTCTCAAGTCTTTGTCCATTTGTGGGTTTAGTAAGTTTTACCGAAATTAAAACTTGAGACCGATCGATAGAATTACCAAGTTTAACTTTTGTTGGAGTTTTTGGTACAGAACACAAAAAATCACGACGGAAGTAATACGATGTTACAACTTTTGTAAAATGACAGTTGTAATAGACGTTGTAGTAAGTAGATTTACGCATACGGTATAGATGACAGTCCTAATAGATGTTGTAGTCAGTAGATTTACACAAAACAGGTACGACTAGGAATGACTAATAAGGAGTTTAATTAAACTAATAATTCAGTTTAATACGTACACCCAAAAAGTAAACTGGTGCAGAACGCCGTCTGCTACTTAAATGTTTACCATTTCATAAAGCGTAAGACTTATGTCGTGGATGAGGTTTTACTAATATATCACTCTAACTTTCTTGGTTGGTATCGAATTTTACGTATTTATGAGTTTTCCAAGTTAGGATAAGCCTTTCCGGTGTATGTGACCATATCAATGGTCCTTTCAAGGAAACTTCTTCAGTTATATTTATGTATGTTGTTTTTGACACTTCTGTAATAATTATAAATTCAAGTTTCAGAAAGGTTTCGTTCCTTTTCAGACACAAATAATTTTCCTTTCATAATGACTTATATTTCATTTTCGGTGATCCAGCCGTTAACTTAATAATTGATTTATTGCCACGAAAATTACATCGCTTAAATTTCCATCTTTCAAAATGACTTCACACAACAGGTCTAGATCTTAGCAAGGCCTTTGATTGTATGTCACATGACATATTAATACACAAACTCTCGTGTTACAATTTTCACCCTACTGCCATAAAATTATTGCGATCATATCTTTCGGATAGAATTCAAATTGTAAATGTTGAAGGTGTTTCATCTGAAGCAATGAAATTAAATTACGGGGTTCCGCAAGGTTCCATCTTGGGACCTGTGTTATTTTTAATGTATGTTAACGATCTGCCTTCTTTTATGGCAAATTATTTAACTACACTGTTTGCAGATGATACTGTTATTAGTAATAATGTGACTTCTATGCAATCAATCGCCCCTTGTCTAGAAAACATCCACACTGAAGCTGAACTCTGGTTTTTAGCAAACAGACTCTGTGTGAACAAAGATAAGTCCTCCGATATGATTTTTAGTTTGAAGAGGGATTGTCCAGTCTTGAACAATAATCAAACAAACAAATTCTTAGGGATCATGGTAGATACAAAGCTATTATGGCAAGAGCACGGGAATTATATAGCAAATAAAATTTCCAGAAATGTATATTTATTGAGAAACTTATCGAACAATGTTGACTGTGAGGTTTTAAAAATTGCCTATTTCGCTTTAGTACAAGCTCACCTAACTTACGGCATATTAATTTGGGGACATAGCTCTGCAATATACAAATTGTTTCGACTTCAGCGAAGGGCGATCAGAATCATTGCAAATCTTGGATACCGGGATGACTGCAAATCGTATTTCAAAACACTAAACATATTGACATTACCATCTCTATATATTTACCATAGCTTAAAATATATCCTCCTGGAAATAGTGTCTTTTCCCACATTAAGCTCCTTTCACGACTATCACACGCGATCAGCTGACCTGTCGATTGAATATTGGCGGATTTCGCGCTGTAGAAATGCTATTAATTATTATTGTATATTATTTTTTAACAAGCTGCCGTTAAGTTACCGACAACTATCATCTAAGGAAGCTCTAAGGAAAATAAAATCATTTTTAATGGCAAATGCATTTTATAGCATTAATGAATATTTAGAGTACAATTTCAGTTTGTAATTATAGAAATATAAGTACCTTTTTGTATATTCTTTTTTTATGACGACTGTAACTTTTAGTTTAACACAATAAAACATTACTTACTTACTTACTTACTTACTTACAGGTGTTCCTGACGATAACGTCACCATAATAGATACAACCATGTTTAATATCTTTTCTCCCCATGATTGCAATAACAATCAATCACGAAAAGCGCCCCGAATAAATCACAATCAAACCTAATTTGTCAAATTCTCGTGTCTGCCTTGAAAAATAAAATCGCTGTCCCTCCCTTGTAATAAACCCCACAAAAAACCGCATCAGGTAGCGTACATATAAAACATTCATCAACTTCTGACATTGAAATATTAGAAAAGAAAATAATCATATTTAAATTATAACATGAATCACCAGGGATTTCGTGGAAAAATTAAACTTTTCACTTTATATTCACAAAGAACCTTTGGCGAATAAGTCAGAAGTCACGTCCTCGCCTCTCCAACAACCGTGTCAATGTTTTGCATCCCTCATTTAAAACCCCCATTAGCATAAATTTCGTGTAATGTGCGCCACCCCCTGTCTCGTTAAGCGTGGCCACAATACCAACGATTGATTGAAATTTGATGTCGAAACGTCATGGTGTGATTTTTTGTTTGCAGCCAGCGTCCATTCAGCTGCTACACCATTCGGTTCGCTTTTGAGCGGAGTCCTAATGGACCGTTGCGGTAGAAAATTAGCTTTACAGATAGCCTCAATGCCCTTAATAGTCGGATGGATCCTCATCGGACTCGCCCCCAACCACGCCATCCTGCTGCTGGGACGGCTCGTTGCTGGATTGTCGGCAGGACTGACTGCTGCGGCAGGACAAGTATGTACATTATCATTAATTTTATCGCCTTGTGATGTGGGGGAAATAATTTAGGCGACTATCTTCCGGAATAATTCCACGGGAAACGTAACAAGCAATTACAAAGTTTTGTTGTTCCAGAGGAGGTTTGGTGCACCTATATTTTATCGTCCTAGTCCTTGTTGAACCATCAAGTAAAAGCGTACTTAGTGTAATGATGGATTTTATTATCGTTATGCGAAACACGAGCTTGTAATTGTGAACAAGCTCGCTCTTCCGGCAACAAAAAATCTGCTTAAAACCCAAATTTACTCCAAGAAAATTACAACTCGGTGTAGAGTGAGTCTTTACTTAGAATTTTATTTCTGCAGTCAACAAATAACAATCCGAGACAAACAAGAAATGCCTTTAACTAGACGCGAGAGTGTAATAAACGCTCAACAGAGGATTAATCCTTAAGTCTGCCTCTTTTAAGATGGAAAGCTGAAAAGTGTTTAAGTAAGTTACATTCGCGACGACTGCACTTGAAAAAACTTTATTTCTTTTTATTAACAAAGTAATCGCAGTTGTGAAGTCGCTTTACAAAAGTCTTTTCTAAAACTAATAAATCTTTCCTTAACGTATGAGGTTTTACTGGTTGCCTACCACGTTAATTATTATAAACCAGAACTAGGCAAAAATTCGAAAATCCCACCCATAGACATCCAAACTTCGATACAGCAATGTTGATTAATAACCACAAACACATTTTCTACTACAAACTTTTCAGGTTCTTATTGGCGAAATCTCCGAGCCACACCTCCGCGGCATGTTTTCCAGCGTTCCGTTCGCAAGTTATTCCTTCGGGATTCTTTTAGTTTATGCGCTAGGTTCACTTCTACCCTGGAGATACGTGGCAGGTTAGTAAGCATCTAAGGTAAAAATCGCAAAGACAAATCGCTCGGATTCCAGGTTTAAGCACAGTCTTACCCATCATGGCCATCACCATCTTTTTCTTTCTGCCCGAAAGCCCCGTTTGGTTGGTGAGACACGATAAACCGGATAAAGCTCGAAAAGCTTTATTGTGGTTGCGAGGAGGCAACGCCCTCCAGGTGAGTTCTATTGTACACCTCGCCGTTTTACGAGTGTATCCTTATTTTTATGGAGTATTTTTTAGAATGTTGCGACTATTATCGTGATTTCAGAAAAAAGAATGTTAGATTAATTGTGATTAGATTCTGAAGGACCAATTTTTCATATTCAAATTATTCAAATGCAGTTTCGCGCCATTTTGCGAAATTTGAATTTAAACTGGGACACCACAAAAGCCATTTAATCACCTGTTTACCGAAACCCGCGTATTTTAAATAGCTGCCATAATTTTCTACATTGTAGCTTTCTGTCAGTACTTTACATTGTTAAAGATAGTTCTCGACGTTTAAATCAACAAGATTTATTGCTATTCCTCTCAGATATTTATAGTGAAAATTTAACACGCATTCATATACCAAAAGTATATAAAAAAATAAAAAGCAATAAAAAAAGAAAGAATTGTGTGTAGAGATCTAATTTCTATGAAAAGATTGGTATGGCGATTAAAAATCATCGATAAAAATCTAATTACGTACCTCCTGTGGAAATCTGAAGACGTCATTAAAAAATTGTTTAATGTTCATTAAAAAACTTCCTCTGAAATACATTGTTGTTTGGTAATATGGCTTTATTTCTTGGAATTGTTTATACAGAATGAATAAAAAAAAAATGAAACCAGTTAATTTTATTTATTCAGTAAAAACAGTTTCTTAGTCCTAGGAACACAGTTAGTAGTGCTGTTAAATTTTAAATATCTCTTGGAAAATACGTTCTAAATCGCATTGGTTGTGGTTTAAAAGCGAGGGAAGTTCGATGTAAATAACTTTACAGTTTTGTTTGTAAATACGGAGGAGATCTAGAAGGGCGAAAATTCTAAAACAGACAGCATATAAAAAATTTTTGAAAAATAAGATTTCGTCATTTTTCAATCTCAATTGTGCTTAATATTGTATTCGTTGTGAGAGGGAGGACGGAGCTTAATTGAAAAATTGTATATTTCTCTACAAGAAATTACCACATGAAATATGCTTTAAGTATCATGTTGTTGAAAGAAAACTATATATATATTAAGAACAAGCAACCAAAAATTATGCCCCACCCACCCGCCCGGACTCAAATCGTATTAAATCTTTTATTCGTTGTGAGACCAGTGGGCGGAGCTTAACTGCAAAGTCTATAGAAACATGTTTGTGGTATTGTTGAAATTGAACTATTTTGCTAAAAAGTAGCAAAAATATTCTTATTCTCCCAAAAGTAAAATTTGCAATTAAGTTCCACCCCCTGGTCTCACAACGAATAAAAAACGTATTGCAACTAGAATCGGAGCGAGTGGGTGGGGCATATTCTTTAGTTTCTTTTTCTAAATATATAGAGTTTTCTATTAACACGATACTTAAAACGTGTTTCACGTGGTAATTTCTTATAGAGACATATAAACTTTTCAATTAAGCTCCGCCTCTCGTCTGACGACGAATGAAAAAATTAATCACACTTGAGATGAGGGCGGGCGGGTGGGGCTTATTCTTTTTCTCAATTGTGCTTAATATTGTATTTGTTGTCAGACGGAGGGCGGAGCTTAATTGAAAAATTTATATTTCTCTACAAGAAATATGTTTTAAGTGTCATGTTGTTGAAAAAAACTATATCCTATATATTAAGAACAAGCAACCTCTTAGGTATTATAACTACAAGGGCTTACATTTTGCTCTTTCAACAAGAAAGGTAAAATACGAGTATGTTTGTTTAAAATGGTAAATTTTTGTAGGAAAGTATCGATTTTGCAATTTTGCTCCCCCCTCCGTCTGACAACAAATGAAAAATTCATCACGATTGAGTTCGAGACGGATGGGTGGGGCTTCTCTTTTGGTTTTCTTTTTTATGAATACATTTAGTTTTCTTTATATAATACGATTACTTACGAACATATTTCACATGTTAATTTCTCGTAAAAAAATAAGGAGTTTACAATTAAGTTCTGCCCCTCGGCTTACGACGAATAAAAAAAATCATCAGAATTGAGACAGGGCGTGTGGGCGGGGCTTATATTTTACCTTTTTTTTTATTAATATACGTATCCATCTTTTCACAACAAGAAAGGTTAAAATGGTACATTTTTGCAAGGAAATATGAATTTTGCAATTATGGGACAAAATAGATATTTCTTTATATAAATTTTAAATTTGTTTTAAGTTTCATGCTGTGAAAAGAAGTCTCCACATATTAAAACAAAAAGGCAAAATATAAACCCGCCCACCCGCCCTATCTCAATTGTGATGATTTTTTTTCGTCGTTAACCAAGTTTGGTTAATTGAAAACTATTTATTTCTTTATAAGAAATTAAAAACATGTTTTTGAGTATCGTGTTGTCTAAAGAATACTTTGTATATTAAGAAAAAAAGGCAGAATATTAACCCCACCCACCCAGCCCATCTCGATTCTAATGATTTTTTTATTCTTAGAAACTTAAAACAGGTTTAAAATGCTAAATTTTTGTAGGGAACTATAGATTTTACAATTAGGCTCCGCCCCTAGATCTGGCAACGAATGAAAACTTCTTTACTACATATTTAGATCAGAGCAGTATGGCTAGGGCTTAATCTTTTGCTTTAATTTTTTCTTAATATACTTAGTAGTCTTTGTATAACACGATACTCAAAAACATGTTTTTAATTTGTCGTAGAGAATAAGGATTTTGCAGTTAAGCTCCGCCCCCTCGGCTCACGCGGAATAAAAAAATCATCACAATTGAGATAGGGTGGGTGGGTGGGGCTACATTTTCCCTTTTTTTCCTAATATGTGTTGTCTTTTTTTCACAACAAGAAAGATAAAATATGTTTAAAGTGGTTAATCTGAATCGGGAAATATCGATTTTGCAATTACGCTCCGCCTCTCGGTTTGACAACGAATGAAAAATTAATCACGATTGAGATGGAGGCTGATGGGTGTGGCTTCTCTTTTGGTTTTTTTTTTTTAATTAATACATTTAGTTTTCTTTGTATAACACGATTGCTTAAGAACATTTTCACGTGGTAATGTCTCGTAGAAAGATAAGGATTTTACAATTAATTTCCGCCCCTCCCTCTGCTTACGACGAATACAAAAAATTATCACAATTGAGATAGGGTGGGTAGGCGGGGCTTATATTTTGCCCTTTTTTTTAAATATAGCCAAAAAACTTAGAACATGGTTAAAATAGTAGATTTTGGCAAGGAAATATGAATTTTGGAATTATAGGGAGGAGCCTATTTGCAAAATCAATATTTCCTTACACAAATTTTCCATTTTAAATATGTTTAAGCTTCCATGTTGTGAAAAGAAGTCTACACATATTAAAACAAAACGGCAAAATATAAGCCCGCCCACCCGCCCTATCTCAATTGTGATGACTTTTTTTATTCGCCGTGAACCGGGGGGGCGGAGCTTAACTGCAAAATACTTATTTCTTTACAAGAAATTAAAAATATGTTTTTGAGTTTCGTGCTGTTCAAAGAATACCATGTATAGAAGAGAAAAAGGCGAAATATAAACCCCGCCCATCCACCCCATCTCAATTGTGATGATTTTTTTTTTTCTTAAAAACCTAAAACACGTTTAAAATGGTAAATTTTTGTATGGTAATATGGATTTTTTTTTAATTTTTTCTAAATATACTTAGTATTCTTTGAACAACACAATACTCAAAAACATGTTTTTAATTTCTTATACAAAAATAAAGATTTTGCAGTTAAGCTCGGCTTTCTTGGCTCACGACGAATAAAAGAAATCATCACAATTGAGATAGGGTGGGTGGGCGGGGCTACATTTTGCCTTTTTTTCTTAATTGTGTAGACTTATTTCGACAACAAGAAACTAAAACATGTCTAAAATGGTAAATTTTTTTAGTAATCAACTTTTCTTCTACAACCCCTTTAAATACGGCAGAAGTTGAACATCAAAGTTACTATCAACGGCAACTTGGCAAGGGAATTTAAAAATGACAGCAACTGCAACGGGAACTTCAACGTCAACAGCAAGTTTATAAAACCCACTTACCAATAAGAATATTATGGGATAATTAGTTTTTAGTTTTGGCGAACTTTAATTAACTGGGAGAAATTTACTCAAAAGGTTCAGACCAACTGGAAAAGACAGAAAGCGTTGGAAGCTGTTAAAATTTCCTTAAAACTCTCCCTCAACTTGTTCTAAATTAAAATGCAAATATATTTCAAGGCAAAATGCCGCTGTCAAATTTGATGTTAACGGTTGCGAAATATCCTTCTACTCGTTCCAGTCATTAAAGTAATATCTTAAGTAGAGTTTAAATTAGAAAATTCTTCTTAACATACTCCCCATTTCCGGATAGATATGTTAAAGACGATACTTTCGAATGCGAAACTTTTAAGTTGTACAAACGTGATGTGGGTCGATAATTCCCCACATCATCGATTTTTCCTTTTTTAAATATTAAACAACTAACCCACGCTTTCTTCGCTCTTGCAGGCCCGCCTGGAAACCGAGCACCTCACCGAGCGCGTCGATCTCGAGAAAAAGCACGCCTCCACCACCTCCAGCCGCCACCTCTTCTTCCGCCCCGAAGTGATCAAACCCTTCATCATCATCAACCTCTTCAACCTAATGCAGATCCTCTCGGGCACCTACATCATCGTCTTCTACGCCGTGGACATCCTCAGCCACATCAACGGCCAAAGCATCGACCACTTCATGGCTGCCGTCCTCACCGCCGCCATCCGCTTCGTCTTCTCTCTCATCGCCAGTCTTCTCCTCGCCCTCATCGGCAGACGCGCCCTAGCGATGACTTCCGGGCTGGGAACCACCATTTCCGCGCTGTGTCTAGGCACGTTTTTGTACCCGCGCGATAACTGCTTTGGGGCTTCCTCGAACGGGTACTTTGCTGCCCTCTGTGTGTTGCTGTACGTAGCTACGAACACTGTAGGGTTCATGATCCTACCCGGAGTCATGCTCGGGGAGCTGTTTCCTGCAAAAGTCCGGGGTTTGGCGGGAGGGTTGACTTTCATGGTGTTCAATTTCGCGCTGTTTGCCATGGCTAAAGCGTTTCCGTTTGTTAAAAATGAAGTAGGGGTGCATGGGGTGTTTTGGATTTTTGGAGGGTCGTCGCTGGTGGCGAGTGTGTTCTTGTATTTGATGTTACCGGAGACGAAAGGGAAGAGTTTGACTCAAATTGAGGATTATTTCCAGCAGGGGAATGTCACGTGGGTGGCGAGGAAAAGGGGAGAGGAGGAGAAGACTGACGATGTGTGACTGTAGTACAATTAGGGTTAGTGTAAGGTTAAGTAATAAAAGTATTTATTTTTAGTTTATTTGGGGCTTTATTTCACGATTCACCGAAGATGTAGCCCAAATATCAGAAACGAAGACTACTTTACGCTCACGAAGTACTTAATTTGGCAATAATAAAAAAAAATGTGTTTGCTTAGAATTTATTGTACACTTCTTACAATGATTACAACCACACATGATAAAGTGCGTTTCAAGTTCACACGAAAGCGGCACTACATGACTTACAAAACCTAAATAAATAACCTTTGTTTTGAAAAATATTGTCTCAAAATATTTCCTGTGGACTTGAAACACCACGCAGCTATAGATTACAACTCTACCGTGACATAAATGGGTTGTATTTGGCCACTTAACTATTTAAAAAATGGAAAATTGGCAGTAGTTCCAGACAACCACGAATTGTCCAAAACTCAAAAACCATCCAACCATTCTTAAATTACTGTGGTTTACGGAAAGACTTGCCCGCATACTTGGCTCCACCAGATAACTCTTCCTCAATACGCAGAATCTGGTTATATTTAGCCAAACGTTCGGACCTGCAAGGTGCCCCAGTCTTAATTTGTCCAGTGGAAAGTCCCACCACCAAGTCAGCAATAAAAGTATCTTCAGTCTCTCCAGATCTGTGCGAAACCATGGTACCCCAACCATTGGCTTTCGCCAGAAGGTGGGCCTTGATGGATTCGGTAACCGACCCAATTTGGTTAACCTTCAAAAGCAAACAGTTGCAAGCCTTCTTTTCAACGGCAGTGGTGATACGTTTGGGGTTGGTCACGGTCAAGTCGTCACCAACAATCTGGATATTAGTGGAGGAGGTGATGGCAGTCCATGAACCCCAATCGTCTTGGTCGAAGGGATCCTCGATGGACACGATGGGGAACTTCTGGATGAAACCCTTATACGTTTCGAGAAGTTTTTCCCCAGTAATCCACTTGCTTTTGTCGGATTGTGGGTTTTTGAAGTCCAAATCGTACAACCCGTCTTTGTAGAACTCAGACGCTGCTACATCCATAGCGATGTCGATTTTTCCATTGTAGCCGGCTTTCTCAATCGCGGCTACGATTAACCCAAGAGCTTCATCTCCTGAAGGAACATTGGGAGCAAAACCTCCTTCATCCCCGACAGCGGTGGCATCCAATCCAAACTTCGCTTTGATGACGTTCTTCAAATGATGGTACACTTCAGTACCCATTTTCATCGCCTCCGTGAAAGAACTAGCTCCCGTTGGCAAAATCATGAACTCTTGCATCGCCAAATTATTACCAGCGTGCGAGCCTCCATTGATAACGTTAAACGCTGGAACTGGAAGAATAATATCTTTGTTTCCAGCAAGGTCCGCCAGATGTTTGTACAAAGGAATTCCTTTTTTGGCTGCACCGGCTTTAGCCACAGCCAGAGACACTCCCAGGATGGCGTTGGCCCCCAGTTTCGATTTATTTTCGGTCCCGTCGAGTTTCAGCATCAGTTCGTCGATTTCGGTCTGCTGGGTGACTTCCAAGTTGGATTTAATCACTTCCGGGGCGATGATGGAGTTCACGTTGGTGATGGCTTTTGTTACGGATTTGCCATGGTAGTTGGCTTTGTCGTTATCGCGGAGTTCCAAAGCCTCGTGGACACCTGTGACAAATGGTGTGTGATTTGGATCGGGAGGGGGTGATGGTACTTACCAGTACTGGCTCCGGATGGTACCGCAGCTCGGAAGAGACCCAAATCTGTCACGAGGTCGACTTCCACGGTTGGGTTACCGCGGGAGTCGAAGATTTGGCGGGCCAAAATGGTTTTGATGGGCATTTTGGAGATGAGGGAGAACGTACGCTGCAAAAACAAGGATCACAACAAATGTCATAAATTACAAAATTTATTAAAGTGTTATAATGCAAATAAGTATTAATAATAATAAAGTGTATAAGAAAGGCACGGAATATTGTTTTTTGACTTACAAACCATAATGCTACAATATGGTGACTTCTGAGACGTCACATATAGGATGTCATGTGATTGTTACCGTTGGTAACAGAATTTTATAATATCGAGCTATGACATTGATTTTTTCTTCTGTAGAGTGGAATTGAGAAATTAGTACCTAGACTGTAAAAATTAAAAATTCAGTTCTGACATTTTTTAAAATGGAAAATTTCATTTTATATATAATTTTTTAGTCAGCTTGCCTCTCTATTTTTTAGAGTATGTCATTTGCCAATAAAAGATCTGCTAAAATCAGTCCTATCTTAGCAAGTAGACCCCGCCCACCCACCCTCCTCTCATTCTAACGACAAATTTATTTTATTCCTGTTTAGTATACGTTCCACCTTTCATTCAGAGCAGATGAAATAATTATTGAAATGGAGACGGGGTGGGTGGGCGGGGTAAATTGTTTTTCTTCTGTACAGTGGAATTGAAAAATAATAGTACCTAGTCTATAAAAACTTGAAAATTCAGTTCTGCCATTTTTTAAAAAATGTATATAATTTTTTAGTCAGCTTGCCTCAAATGGAACACCTCTATTTTTTAGAGAGTATGTGATTTGCCAATAAAAGGTCTGCCAAAATCAGTCCTATGATAGCAAGTAGTGACCCCGCCCACCCACCCTCCTATCATTTTAACGACAAATTTTATTCCTGTTTAGCATACGTTCCACCTTTCATTCAGAGCAGATGAAATAATTACTGAAATGGAGACGGGGTGGGTGGGCGGGGTAAATTATTTTTTCTTCTGTGGAGTGGAATTGAGAAATAATAGTACCTAGTCTGTAAAAATTAAAAGTTCAGTTCTGCCATTTTTTAAAATAGAAGATTTCATTTTATATATAATTTTTTAGTCAGCTTGTCTCAAATGGAACACCTCTATTTTTTAGAGTATGTCATTTGCCAATAAAAGATCTGCCAAAATCAGTCCTATCTTAGCAAGTAGTGACCCCGCCCACCCACCCTCTTCTCATTCTAACGACAAATTTTATTCCTGTTTAGTATACGTTCCACCTTTCATTCAGAACAGATGAAATAATTACTGAAATGGAGACGGGGTGGGTGGGCCGGGTAAATTATTTTTTCTTCTGTAGAGTGGAATTGAAAAATAATAGTACCTGGACTGTTAAAATTAAAAATTCAATTCTGCCATTTTTTAAAATGGAAGATTTCATTTTATATATAATATTTTAGTCAGCTTGCCTCAAATGGAACACCTCTATTTTTTAGAGAGTATGTCATTTGCCAATAAAGGTCTGCCAAAATCAGTCCTATCTTAGCAAGTAGAGACCCCGCTCACCCACCCTCTTCTCATTCTAACGACAAATTTTATTCCTGTTTAGTATACGTTTCACCTTTCATTGAGAGCAAATGAAATAATTACGGAAATAGAGACGGGGTGGGTGGGCGGGGTAAATTATTTTTTCTTCTGTAGAGTGGAATTGAGAAATAATAGTACCTGGACTGTTAAAATTAAAAATTCAATTCTGCCATTTTTAAAATGGAAGATTTCATTTTATATATAATTTTTTAGGCAGCTTGTCTCAAATGGAACACCTCTATTTTTTAGAGTATGTCATTTGCCAATAAAAGATCTGCCAAAATCAGTCCTATCTTAGCAAGTTGTGACCCCGCCCACCACCCACCCTCTTCTCATTCTAACGACAAATTTTATTCCTGTTTAGTATACGTTCCACCTTTCATTCAGAACAGATGAAATAATTACTGAAATGGAGACGGGGTGGGTGGGCCGGGTAAATTATTTTTTCTTCTGTAGAGTGGAATTAAGAAATAATAGAACCTGGACTGTTAAAATTAAAAATTCAATTCTGCCATTTTTTAAAATGGAAGATTTCATTTTATATACAATATTTTAGTCAGCTTGCCTCAAATGGGACACCTCTATTTTTTAGAGATTACATATATCATTTGCCAATAAAAGGTCTGCCAAAATCAGTCTTATCTTAGCAAGTAGTGACCCCGCTCACCCACCCTCTTCTCATTCTAACGACAAATTTTATTCCTGTTTAGTATACGTTTCACCTTTCATTCAGATCAAATGAAATAATTACGGAAATAGAGACGGGGTGGGTGGGCGGGGTAAATTATTTTTTCTTCTGTAGAGTAGAATTGAGAAATAATAGTACCTGGACTGTTAAAATTAAAAATTCAATTCTGCCATTTTTTAAAATGGAAGATTTCATTTTATATATAATATTTTAGTGAGCTTGCCTCAAATGGAACACCTCTATTTTTTAGAGAGTATATCATTTGCCAATAAAAGGTCTGCCAAAATCAGTCCTATCTTAGCAAGAAGTAACCTGGTCCACCCACCCTCTTCTCATTCTAACGACAAATTTTATTCCTGTTTAGTATACGTTCCACCTTTCATTCAGAGCAGATGAAATAATTACTGAAATGGAGACGGGGTGGGTGGGCGGGGTAAATTATTTTTTCTTCTGTAGAGTGGAATTGAAAAATAATAGTACCTAGTCTGTAACAATTAAAAATTCAGTTCTGCCATTTCTTAAAATGGAAGATTTCATTTTATATATAATTTTTTAGTCCGCTTGCCCCAAATGGAACACCTCTATTTTTTAGAGAGTACGTCATTTGGTAATAAAAGGTCTGCCTAAATCAGTCCTATCATAGCAAGTAGTATTTATGTCAAAGATGAAAGAGAAAATAGATAGCACCACAGACATTTAATTAATTAAATATGATAATTAATGAACTATATAAAAAAAAACTTCGAAATTTAATTCGATTTTTTTTTATTTTTTATTTTTTTGATGATTGATGACTACTCCTCGTCCAAGGTTACTTTATAGCAATAAAGTAATCCTACTCTTTGCCTATCACCAATCTATTACAAATGTCAACATAACCTAACTCTCTTAAGTTATTTAGATCTGCAACCTATCTCAACAAAGCGGCAAATTCTTATTAAAAAAGCAGTGGCAGATTTTCCAAGACTAACCTGATCTGCAATGTTTTATGAGTACGAGTTTGATTTGTAAAATTAATAAAAATAAATCTGGGGACCTAATAAAATCTTTCAAATTTATAGTCCCGATCACGGTTGTAGAATAGATAGGTTTGTACACTAATGGCTTGGGATGGCGACGCTTCTTTTCGATCCCTATATCCATGGAAAGGACACATACAGCTAGCGCCTCTACCTTGTCGAGCGGAAATCATTCTAGTTATTTTGGGGATTTTCGTTTACATTGCTTTATGAACAATGCAAAATTTGTAAATGACATTTGATCGGAGTCGATAAGTACGATTTCTTTTATTAATTACATCGGTTATAGACAGATGCCTATAGAGTTCTGTGTCCCTAAAACGTCAAAAACCAGGCGACGCGATCGGCAATTGGCGTCGCTGACCAGGGATATGCAAATGTATGCTAGTGTATCAACCTATCTATTCTACAACCGTGGTCCCGATAAAGGGTGACGTTTATTGGTGATTGTATAGTTAGGTACTGAATTTGAACTTGAAATTTATTCCTACAACGTATACTAAATTAATCAATAATCAAAGAAGCAAGGTTTTATATATATATATATTTTTTTATTTTAAACATGCTCTAGATTAGGTTCAGATTTCAAAATAAAATTTATTGTTTAACAATTGTTACTTCAAAGACGACAATAATTACACCAATCCGAAATATTTAACTTTGGTAATGTGATAATTGCATTCAAATCACAAATATAATCTTGTTGTTAATTTTTATTTCATCATATGTCACCAGATTTTGCAACCAGTGGTGTCACAAGAAGGTAATACGTGACGTGAATCATGATTTTAAGGATCATAAAATACCCTTTTACTTTCTGACGCGCTACCACTGCGCTGACTAATTAAATGCAACAACTTTATCTTGTATAATAATCAAATACATCTAAATTACTGCGGTTTTTAAAAAAATCGTTAAAATTTAAAAGAAATATTTTAAAATAAGAAAAAAGGCCAGATTTTATTTTTAAATTAAAAAGGAAATGAACCATTAAGCCTAGTTCACATGTATGTCAGTCTTTCAACACGTTCAATACATTCCACGAAGAACATTTTCTAAATTAGGTACCCCGATAATTTAAAATATTGAATAAAATTTTAAACTAATGTAGTAATTCAAAAATGTAACACAAGCACACCAATGACCTTCATTTCGGCACCTTCAAGAATTACCAATTGTGCATAATATAATTGTAAAAACGATAAAAACAATAAAAAACGTCTTATTTACACTAAGATCTACTAACGCAGGTACGAATACTTACATAATTGCAATTAAATCGGAAACGAATGTTAGTTCTTGCTGCCTAGCAGCCGGCACCAAACTAAAGTGTCAAAATTTGACCTATCGACAAATGACAAGGTGATATAAAGGTCAAAAGAAGGTCCCCCTGTATGTGATACAGTGAATATAACGGCAACGTCACATACGTTCAAAAAAAGATCCCTACATCGTGAAATCGAGTTTTTAACTTGTCGCCGCTAGAGTGCAGCGTATCACACAAAATTACGACGAACGAACTCGCACCAAGTATGAGTTAAAAAAATTTGAACTTTAATTCTGTCCCTCTCATCGACTTGATTTTATAATTTTAAAATTATTAATAAAAAAATTATTTTTTCAAATTATCGTTGCTTTTTTTACTTTTTACATTTTATATGTTACAAAACTGGAGAAGGTTGCTGTATTTTGTACGGATAATATGTTCACAGTGGTTTTCGGAATGAATGCCCGGCATATCTTCCATCGTTCCCTAATTCTTCCTCAATTCTTAAAATCTGATTGTACTTGGCCGTCCTCTCTGACCTGCACGGTGCTCCCGTTTTGATTTGTCCCGTCGACAGCCCCACGACCAAGTCAGCAATGAAGGTGTCTTCAGTTTCGCCAGATCTGTGTGATACCATGGTACCCCAACCATTTTCTCTCGCCTTACAATGAGCCTGTATTGCCTCAGTGATCGATCCCACTTGGTTGACTTTCAGGAGCAAACAGTTAGCGGCTTTTCGTTCCACAGCGGTTTCTATACGTTTCATATTCGTCACTGTTAAATCGTCAGCTACAATCTGCACATCTGTCGATGTAGTCATTGCAGACCAATTTTCCCAATCGTCCTGTTCGAACGGATCTTCTAACGAAACAATAGGGTATTTTTTGAAGTAGCTCTTATACAGGTCCATTAATTCAGGTCCAGTCAGTATGCTTCCAGGTCCCTTCTTATCCTTCGCATCACCTTTCTTGTCTTCCTTACCACCTTTTTTGCCCTTCTTACCTTTGGCCTTCGTTTCTTTCTTTTCCTTCTTTTTCTTCTCTTTTTTATCTTTCTTGCCTTTTTTCCCCTTTTTGTCTTTCTGTCCTTCATCATCACCTTTCGCTTTTATCATTCCTGCTTTAAAATTCAAGTTGTAATTTCCCTCTTTGTAGAATTCAGAGGAAGCGGGATCCATGGCGATGTCGATTCGCCCTTGATAGCCACCCTTTTGGATAGCTGTGGTAATCAAATCCAAAGCTTCTTCTGCTTTGGTAATGTTAGGAGCAAATCCTCCTTCGTCTCCCACAGCAGTTGCTTCCAACCCAAATTTATCTTTAATAACATCCTTCAAGTAATGGTAAACTTCAGACCCCATCTTCATCGCTTCAGCAAAACTGTGAGCCCCGGTGGGCATGATCATGAACTCCTGCATAGCCAACTGATTGCCTGCATGTACCCCTCCATTGATTACGTTAAAAGAGGGAACTGGAAGAATGAAATGTTCGACTCCGGACAGGTCCGCTATGTGTTTATACAGAGGGATGCCTCTTTTAGCAGCTCCAGCTTTGGCTACCGCCAGAGATACCCCCAAGATAGCGTTAGCACCCAACTTTGACTTATTTTCAGTACCGTCTAATTTGATCATTAGATCGTCGATTTCCATCTGATGGGTTACTTCCAGATTTGATTTGATGAGTTCTGGGGCGATGACTTGGTTGACGTTGCAAACTGCCGTAAAGACAGACTTGCCATTGTAGTTAGCGGCGTCCTGATCCCTCAGTTCGAGAGCCTCGTGGACTCCTAGTAGCAAAATAGTGCAAAATAGTGGTACCCTGACTGAGACAAAGCAACCATTAACATACCTGTACTAGCTCCCGAAGGCACCGCTGCTCGAAAAAGACCTAAATCTGTAACCAAGTCCACTTCTACGGTTGGAAATCCTCGAGAATCGAAAATTTGACGGGCCAAGATACTCTTGATGGGCATGTTTTTGAGGGTGGAAAAAGCACGCTGAAAATAACGAGTGTGAAAAATAGTGGAAGAAAAGCGAAGGGTGTGGTAGCAAGTGACTAAGCGCGGTGAAGCAAAAGGTAGAGAAGATAATCTATGAGCAAATAACCTTGAAACTCATGGCTACACCGAAAATTCACCGAAGTCTACGTAATTTACCACGCGAATAACACTTGCACTAAAACAAGAGTAGATGCAGTTATATGAAAGAGCTACTGAAATACTCACAAAATTTTGAAAAAATGTAAATTCAGCCTTGCGCTGAATTTTTTTGACACGAAACTAAAAGTCAGTGATTAGTTTGACAAGTTGAAAAAAATGAAGGTGACAATTTGGAATAAAAGTTCTGGCTGCAGTTTTTGAGAAAGTGTTGTCCTAACTTTTGCTATTTTGTTTTACTGATGGTGGAAGTGGCCACTTCCGAAACGTTACACTAACCAACATCCGATAGTACCAAGTGAAAATCGGGACTTTTCTAACCGTGATACACCAAATTCGAATTTTATATACTTTTAAATAAAGTCAAATTTTGGCCTTTAAGCTCCAGTCTGTTTTTTTTTCAACCTGGTTTAGCACGTCCAATTCGCCTCTGATCACCAGACTCTGAGATTCTTTCAAAATAATTTAAAAACCTACCAAAAAATACCCGAGATTCTTCCTAACTACTTTAAAATCTAAAGGGGTCCCCGAAATTCTTTCAAAATACTTCAAAAACAAGATCCACAAAGGGTGCTCAAGATTCTTTTTAACTACTTCAAAAATAAAAACCCAAGCAGTTCTCGAGATTCTTTCAAATTAATTCAAATGCAATATCTAAAGGGGTCTCCAAGATTCTTTCAAATCACTTCAAAAACAGGACAAGGAATCCCCAAGATTCTTTCAAAATACTTCGGAAACAAAACAAAAGGGGTTCTCGAAATTCTTTCAAGCTACTTCAAAAACTAAACACAAAGGGTAGGTATCCGCGATTATTTCAAACTATTTCAAAAATAAACCCAAGGGGTCCCCGAGATTCTTTCAAACTACTTCAACAGCAAAACAAAAGACGTTCCCAAGATTCTTTCAAACTACTTCAAAAACAGTACAAGAAGTCTCCAAGATTCTTTCAAAATATTTCAAAAACAAAACGAAAAGGGTTCCGGAGATTCTTTCAAACTTCTTTAAAAATCAGACACAAGGAGCACCCGAGATTCTTTCAAATTACTTCAAAAACAGGACAAGGAATCCCCAAGATTTTTTCAAAATACTTTGAAAACAACACAACAGGGGTTCCCGAAATTCTTTCAAACTACTTCAAAACCTGGACACAAAAGGTAGGTACCCGCGATTTTTCAAACTACTTGAAAAGTAAAACCCAAGGGGTCACCGAGATTCTTTTAAACTATGTACTTCAACAGCAAAACAAAAGGCGTACCCAAGATTATTTCAAATTACTTCAAAAATACTACAACAAGTCTCCAAGATTCTTTCAAAATACTTCAAAAACAAAACGAAATGGGTCCCCGAGATTCTTTCAAACTAATTCAAAAATTAGACACAAGGAACACCCCAAATTCTTTTAAATTACTTCAAAAACAGGACAAAATGTTCCCAAGAACCTTCTAAAATACTTCAAAAACAAAACAAAAGGGGTCTCTGAGATTCTTTTAAACTACCTCAAAAATTAGTCACAAGGGGTTCCCGAGATTCTTTCAAACTACTTCTCAACACCTAGACGCAAGCGGTACCTGAGATTCTTACAAACTACTTCAAAAATACAGGCCAAGTTTCGTTCAAACTACTTCAAAAACGAGACCCACAAGGGGTCACTGAGATTTTTTCAAATTACTTCAAAAACAGTACAAGAGGTCCCCAAGATTCTGTTAAAAATACTTCAAAAACAAAACAAAATAAAAGGGGCCCGGAGATTCTTTTGAACTACTTCAAAAATTACATAAAAGGGATACCTGAGATTCTTTCAAACTATTTCAAAAATACAGTCCAAGGGGTCACCGGGGTTCTTTCAACCTACTTCAAAAATGAGATCCACAAGGAGTCCTCGAAATTCTTTTAAATTACTTTAAAAACAGAAAAAGAAATCTCCATGATTCCTTCAAAATACTTCAAAAAGAAAACCCATAAGGGGTTCCCGAGATTCTTTCAAACAATGTACTTCAACAGCAAAACAAAAGGTGTACCTAACATTCTTTCAAATTACTTCAAAAACACTACAAGAAGTCTCCAAGATTCTTTCAAAATATATACTTCAAAAACAATACGAAAGGGGTCCCCGAGATTCTTTCAAACTACTTCAAAAATTAGACACAAGGAGCACCCGAGATTCTTTTAAATTACTTCAAAAACAGGACAAAAGATTCCCAAGAATCTTTCAAAATACTTCAAAAACAAAACAACAGGGGTCTCTGAGATTCTTTGAAACTACCTCAAAAATTAGGCACAAGGAGTCCCCAAGATTCTTTCAAACTACTTCAACACCTAGACGCAAGCGGTAACCGAGATTTTTACAAACTACTTCAAAAATACAGGCCAAGGTTCTTTCAAACTACTTCAAAAACGAAACCCAAAAGGGATCCCCGAAATTCTTTCAAATTACTTCAAAAACAGGACAAGAGGTTCCCAAGAATCTTGCAAAATACTTCAATACTCGCCAAGATAAGATTGATTTTCCAAACGATACCCTTCTCTACCCTTTATTTTCTTAGAGGATATGTCATTTGCCAATATCAGTCGGTACTATTTTAGCAGGTAATGACCCCGCCCACCCACCCTCTCTTTTCTTAGAGGATATGTGATTTTCGAAAATCAATCTTATCTTAGCAGGTACAAGCCCCGCCCACCCACCCTCTCTTTTTTTAGAGGGTATGTCATTTGCCAAAATCAGTTTTATCTTGGCAACTACTATCTCCGCCCACTCACCCTTTGTTTTCTTAGAGGGTATCTCATTTGTCAAAATCGGGTTTTTAGTCACGTTTTTGTTGCTGTTTTTATTGCTTATTTTTATGACCTTTTTACTTCATTTTTTCCTGTTTTCGTTCCGTTCTGGTCCCTTTTTGGCAATTTTTTACCTTTTTCTTTTCTTCTTTTTTGTCCATTCTCATTCCTTCGTCCCCCTGTACTCCTATTTTGTCAATCTTTGGTGGCGTGGTTTTATTGCTTTTTGTTTTTTTTAATTGTGTCCTCTTTGTTTGGTATTTTTATATTTTCTGTGTTTTTTGTCCTTTTTCGTCCTTGGACCGGTTTTTGTCGCTTCTTGCGTTATTGTCCCTATTTTGGCCACTACTTGGTGTCATTTTTTCGTTTTACTCTCTCGTGTTTTTTTGTCCTTTTTCTTCCTTTTTTGCTTCTACTGTCGCCTTTTTTTGGTCATTTTTGTACCTGTTTCGGTCCTTTTTCGGACACTTTTTGACTGATTTTGGGCCCCTTTGGTCATTTTTACCCCGCTTTTGTCTTCTCTTGTCACTTCCTCCTTCCTACTAGTCGTATTTTTCTCGCCTTTTTTAACCACTTCCTTTATTTTCTGTCTTCTTTGTCTTCTTTTCTTCTTGGTCAGTTTTTTTGACACTTCCTCATTTATGGTTCTTTTTTTATTCCTATGTTGTCTTTTTTCTTGGTCGCACTCATTATTTGTCTTGATCGCGTTGTTTTAGCACCTTTTTTCGTTTTATCGGCCGCTGTTTTATTACATATTTTTATTGCCTTTTTTACCCAATTTTTGTTCCTGTTTTAGCCCCGCTTTAACCACTTTTTGGCAATTTTTGGACCTTTTGTGTTCTTTCTTGTCCTTTCTCGTTCGTTTCTTCTTTGTTGTCCTTCAATGGTCCTTATTTTGTCTTTTTGCCTTTTTTCCTCATTTGCTGTTGCCTTTGTTGGATTTTTGGATACTTTTTGTCTTTTCTGTCTTTTTTTTACTTTTTCCCCATTGGTTCGGTTTTTGTCGCTTCCTCCTTTATTGTCCCTTTTTTGGCCCCTACTTGGTGTCCGTATTTTATTGCTTTTTTTCGTTTTCTCCTGTGGCGTTTCTCTTACCCTTTTTGTTTCTTTTTTTGCCTTTCTTTGTCGCCTTTTTTACACCCTTTTGTCCCCGTTTTGGTCCCTATTTTATCTCCTTATGTTGGCGTTCTTTTATTGCCTTTTTTCCTCTTTTTTGTTGTATTTTCTGTCTTTTGTGTATTTTTTGTTCTTATTTCCTTTTTTATTGTCCATTTTTTGGCCCCAACTTGGTGTCAATGTTTTATTGCTTTTTTTCGTTTTTTTTTCTGTAGTGTTTCTCTTGCCCCTTTTGTTCCTATTTTTGTCCTTTTTTTGGTTCCTTTTTGGCAATTTTTATCCCAGTTTTGGCCCCTTTTTGGCCATTTTTGGACCCTTTTTGTTCTTTCTTATCCCTTGTCGTTTTTTCTGCTTTATTGTACCTTTGTAGTTTTTGCTTTCTTGTTTTGGTTCTTTTATTGCATTTTTTCATCTTTTTTGTATTTTTTTAAATATACCTTTCGTCCTTTTTCGTCCATGATCCAATTTTTGTCGCGTCCTCCTTGCTTGTCCCTTTTTTGTTCCTTGGTATCAATGTTTAATTGCCTTTTTTTTTCGTTTTTTTCTGTCGTGTTTCTCTTGCCCTTTTTGTCCCTATTTTTGTCTGTTTTTGGTTCCTTTTTGGCAATTTTTACCTCTGTTTTCCGCCAATTTTGGCCTCTTTTTGACAATGTTTGGACCCTTTTTATTGTTTCTTGTCTCTTGTCGTTTTTTTCTTCTTTATTGTACCTCTATGGTTTATGATTTGTCTCTTTTTGGTTTTTTATTGCATTTTTTCGTCTTTTTTGTATTTTTTTAATGAATTTTTTGTCCTTTTGTCGCTTCCTTCTTTGCCTTTTTCGGTCCCTACTTGGTGTCAATGTTTTATCGCCTTTTTTCGTTTTTTTTCTCTGTAGGTTTCTTTTGCTCTTTTTGTTCCTGTTTTGTTTTTTTTGCCATTTTTGGTCCATTTTTGTCCCCGTTTTCGCCCTGTTTTAGCCCTTTTTTAGTCATTTTTGGACACTTTTTGTTCTTTTTTGTCCCTTCTCGTTTTTTTCTGCTTTATTGTACCTTTGTGGTTTCTGTTTTCTATTTTTAGTTGTTTTGTTACATTTTTTCTTCTTTTTTGTTGTGTTTTTTGTATTTTCTTTATTGACCCCTGCGGCCCTTCTTTTTATGTCTCATTGTTACATTGCCTTTTTTCTTTTTTCTATTGTCTTAGTTGGATTTTTGTCGCCTTTTTGTTTAGTAATTTTTGTCCCTTTTTGGGCCCTACTTAATGTTGTTGTTTTATTACCT